TGTAAATCTTCACCCAAATCACAATTAAAAACAACAACAACAAAAAAAAAAAAGATAGAAGGAATACACAGAGTCACTGTACCAAAAAGAACTGGTCGATGTTCATTCATTTCATGACATATGATCAACAACCGATGGTGCTGAGGGAGGAAGTCGAAGTTGCACTGAAGGAAATGGCAAAAAAACAAGGCTCCAGGAATTGAAGAATACCCATTGAGATGTTTAACAAACAGATGCCACGTGGAAGTACCACTTGGCTATGCCAAGAGATTTGGAAGACAGCTACCTGGCCAAATGACTGGAAGAGATCCATATTTGTACCCATTCCAAAGAAAGGTAATCCAACAGAATGTGAAAATTATCAAACAATATCATTACTATTTGATAACAATATCACACAAGTAAAAATCTTACTGAAATAATTCAAAAACGGTTGCAACAGTATCTTGATAGCTTCTAGAAATGCAAACTGGATTCAGAAGAGGATGTAGAATGGGGATATCACCGCTGATGTCAGATGAATCTTTGCTGAAAGCAAAGAATACCAGAAAGATGTCTACTTGTGTTTTATTGACTATGCAAAAGCATTTGATTTTGTGGATCATAACAAATTATGGGTAACATTAAGAAGAATGGGAATTCCAGAACACGTAATTGTACTCATAAGAATCCTGTACATAGACTAGGAGGCTGTCATTCAGACAGAACAAAGAGATACTGCATGGTTTAAAATCAGGAAGAAATGCAACAGGGTTACATCCTTTCACCATACTTAATCAATCTGTATGCTGAGCAAATAATCCGAGAAGCTGGACTATATAAAGAAGAATGTGGCATCAGGATTGGAGGGAGAATCATTACCAACCTACAATACACAGATGATACAACTTTGCTTGCTGAAAGTGAGGATAACTTGAAGCACTTACTGATCAAGTTTGAAGACTACAGTCTGCAGTATGGATTACACCTCAATATAAAGAAAACAAAAATTCTCACAACTGGACCAATAGGCAGCATCATGATAAATGGAGAAAAGATGAAGCTGTCAAAGACTTCATATTACTTGGTTGTACAATCAACACCAAATGGAAGCAGCAGTCAAGACATCAGATGATGTACCGTGATGGGCAAATCTGCTACAGTAGACCTCTTTGAAGTGCTGAAGAGGAAAGATATCTCTTTGAAAACTAAGGTGCACCTAACGGAAGCCAAGATATTCTCAATTGCCTCATATGCATGAGAGCTGGACAATGAATCAGGAAGACCAAAGAAGAGTAGATGCTTTTGAATTGTGGTGTTGGTGAAGAATGCTGAAGGTACCATGGACTGCTAAAAGAACTAACAAAACTGTCTGGTGGAAGTGCAGCCGGAATGCTCCTTGTAACCAAGAATGGCCAGACTTCATCTCACTTACTTTGGTCTTGTCAGAAGGGACCATTCTCTGGAGAAGGATATCATGCTTGTTAAAGTGGAGGGTCAATGAAAAAGAGGGAGGCCTTCAAGGAGATGGATTAACACAGTGGCTGCAATGATGGGCTCAAGTATAGCAGGGATCCTGGGGCTGGCACAGGACCAGGCAGTGTTTTGTTTTGTTGTGTTGTGTATGGGGTCGCTATGAGTTAGAGATGACTTGATGGCTACTAACAACAACAGCAGGAGCATTCCTGGCTCTACCTACTAGATGCCAGTGACATCCCTTCCCTGCAAGGTATGAAAACCAAAAACATGTCTAGACATTGCTAAATGTCCCCTGGGGGCAAATAGCCACCAGTTAAGAATGATTTCCTTAAATCTATTAAATAACTGGCTATAATCCTTTAAAACTAGTAGTATTACTTTTATAATCACAATGTAAACTTTTCAGGACAAAGTATTCTTTTGAGATGAACCATACCTAGCCAACATCATACTATGCTTGATTTTGGCTTTTGGAAAGTTTCACTGTGACAATCTAGGATTGCAAGTTGAAGCCAGACCTCTTGAATAAGTTCAAGACCACAGAAATCAAGTCACCTCTGTAGGTCTAAGTCATAATCTATGAGATGAGAGCCTTATACTGAGTATCTCCAGGACCTCTCCTAGTTACAACAATCCAGGAGTTTATGATTTATACTCAGTTTATACCAATATAAAATAGATTATTAGTCTATAAATAAATGTTGAAGTTAGTAAAATTTTTTTCTGAATAGAATTGAGACCTTAAAAAAGGCTTATGTAAAATAAGAGAAGTAGGAAGCAAACGATTAAATCTTGAATATAACTAAACAGTACTCTTAATAAAAATTTCTAATAAGGCCTACCTTGCTTGAAGAAAACAGCTATCTTTCAGAGGCACTTGGATGAAGACCAACCAGTTCATACTGGGATTTCAAGGTCACTTCGGGTTATGCTGTAGGTTAAATAGTCTTAATATAACAGGTTTGAAAACATGAATAATTCATACCTGCCATGGAATACTTCCACACCAGTGCTTCCTCTCTGCCTTCCTTCCAATGCATCGGAAGAATAATCTAATGGAATATAAAATGCAAGTAATCAAGGTTGTCAAAATCCATTGAAACATGAGATAATTTTGTTGTTGTTGTTGTGCTTTGGGTGCAAATTTACAAAGCAGATTTGTTCTACATTTGACAATTTCATTTCATGGCCCTGATTACCATCTCCAGCCATAAAAAAACTCTCCTCCCCTCTCCTCTCTGTGCCCTTCTTATCTATGCATTCCTGTCTGTCCAGCTTTCCCTTTATGTGAATGCTGCCCCTCTGGTGTCTCATGGATGACTGATCTAAGGGGTGCACCTCCCCTAGAGTAGTTGGGCGCATCGCCCTTGGGTAGGTGTTCTGCATGTAGGTAGATAAATTTCTTTTTAACCTAAGAAAACAACTGGCAACTAGTTGACACTAGCTTTGAAAGGTCACTTGAAACCATCAGTCATATACACATTAAACAATTCCTTGCTGCATAGGACATCTATAACAGCTAGAATGTGAAAGCAAGCCCCTGGGTGGTGTAAATGGTCAGCATGCTCAGCTGTTGCCTGGAAGCTTGGCTATTATAGTCTACCCAGAGGTACCTTGGAAGAAAAGTCTGGTGACCTACTTCTGAAAAATCAGCCATTGAAAACCCTATGGAGCACAGTCCCACTCTGATATAGAAGGGGTAACCGTGAGTCAGAATCAACTGGTTAGGAAGTACAAGAGTAGAGATGGCATGGTAACCAGAGCATGCATGCCCAGGCTTACTCCTTGTACTCTTTAAGAATGACTGAGACAGAGATATTGAGCTTTGTGTTGTTGTTGTTGTTATATGCCGTCGAGTCGGTAATGGCTACTAAAGTCAGAAGAGAGAGATAACTAGATGTCACGTGTCCCTGATGGGAGGCCACAATACTGCCTATAAGTGATGCAAAACAAAACCAAACTAAGAAAAACACGAACACCCATAATAACAAACAGAAAACTATCTTGAATCTGGTTAAAACTCTAAATCCAATTACCAATTAACAGGAAATACAAACAACAGACGAACATGTAAAACTATACAAAAAAAAAAAAAAAATGCAAACTCACTGCTGTTGAGTTGGATCTGACTCACAGTGACCCCTCCTTGGGTTTAGGAGCTCTGGTAGCATAGTGCCTAAGGCACTTGACTGCTAACCAGAAGGCTGGCGGTTCAAACCCACCAGCCACTCCTCGGAAGGAAGGTTGGGCATTCCTACTTCCTTAGTGATACTGCCTCGGAAACCCAAGGAGGGGTCGCTATGAGTCGGGGCCGACTCGATGGCAAATAACAACAACAACAACATCCCTGCAGAAGTAGATTGCCCAACCTTCCTTCCGAGGAGCAGCTGGTGGGTTTGAACCGCCAGCCTTCTGATTAGCAGTCAAATGCCTTAGGCACTATGCTACCAGAAGTCCTAAAACTATGCTATGAAGACACAATCAGCAAAATCTCAACAGTGGGGGAAGCTGTAGGACAAACAATCTGGTTTCTTCAACAAACAAATGAGAGAAAAAGGGGAAAATAAGAGAGTTAAAAGACATAGTGTTCAAATGCAATTTATAGACCTTATTTGGATCCTGATTTAAGCAAATAAAAACTACTAGAAAATAAATAACTATTTGTAAGACATTTATGAATCCACTGGAAATCTTTACACCAACTTTATTTCTGATGACACTAAGGAATTGGTGTTTATTTGTGATAATGGAATTGGTATTGTGATTATGCTTTAACAACAATTAAAAAAAAGAATCCTTTTCTTTCAGAGCTAGAAACTGAAATATTTACAGATTAAAAAATGTTATCTGGAATTTGCTTCAAAATAATATGGCAGGAATTGGGGGTGGAGGGTGGGTATGGTATATATGGAAACAAGATTAGCCATGAGTTGGCAATTGCTGAAGCTCATGGGTATATCATCTTATCCTCTCTACTTCTGCATATATTTGAAATCTTCCATTAAATAAAAAAAATACTACTAGATTGAATACAGACTTACATCCCAGTGCAAGATGTCCTTGCACAAACAAGCATGCCTACAATTCAGGTATACCAGAGATGGCTATACTGTTTCATACCTTAACTAAACCCTGTACTCTCCAGTCTTTGCATGCGTACCGCCTTCCATCCCTCTTTATTTATCCCTACTTGTTTACCATCACCCCATCTCCAGCTACTGAAAACCTACCTGTCTGTTTTGGACTGAATTGTGTCCCCCCAAAAGATAACCTAACCCACAGTATCTGTGAATGTGACCTGGTTTGGAGATAAGGTCTCTGAAGATGTTATCAGTTAATATGTGATTGTACCCGAGTAGTCTGGGTCCTAACTCAACCATAACACTGCCCTTATAAAAGAGAAAAGACACAGAGACACACAGCAAGGAGATGTCTACGTGAAGATGCATATACAAGCCAAGGAACGTCAAGAAGCCTCGAGTTACAAGAAGCTGGAACACAAGGATCTTACCCTACAGCAGATAATGGGAATTAAAAGGCATTAACACATCCTGACATTGAACTTTTAGGCTCCAAAAGCTGTGAGACAACAGATTTCTGTTCTGGTGAACAGAACAGTGTCCTTCAAGGCTCAGCTCAAGTCATACCTCTTTTGCAAAGTTTTCCTACATCCCCTTCCCATCCATCCACTGCACTGCCTCTATTTTTGTTGCAATTTTCAGTTACGTTACATTTACACCTGCAACAATGAGCTCAAGCATAGCAATGATTGTGAGAATGGCCCAAGACCAGGCAGTTTCATTCTTTTGTACAGAAGGTCATTATGATTTGGAACCAACTCGACAGCACCTAAAACAATTACACACTTGCATATACCTATATGCCTAACTAGATTGTTGGCAACTGTTCCTGGCAACCTTGTCTATAAAAGCATGAAACACTGTCCGGTCCTGTGCCATCTTTGTGATTGCTGGTATGTTTGAGTACGTTGTTCTAGCTATGGTGTCAATCCACCTCATTAAGGGTTTCCCTTGTTTTCACTGACTTTCTCCTTTACCAACCATGATGTCATTCTCTAGCAACTTATCTTTCCTGATAGCATGTCCAAAGTTGTTGTTGTTGTTGTTGTTATGTGCCATCGAGTCGGCCCCGACTCATAGCGACCCCTCGGGTTTCCGAGGCAGTATCACTACGGAAGTAAGATTGCCCAACCTTCCTTCCGAGGAGTGGCTGGTGGGTTTGAATCGCCAGCCTTCTGGTTAGCAGTCAAGTGCTTTAGCCACTATGCTACAAAGTAAGTGAGCCAAAGTCTAAGGAGCATTTAGCCACTAGAGGGGGTGAGTATATATAATCTATTTATTTTTAATTACGCCTCACCATTTGATCATAGCCTTTAAGTACTGCTGAATGAAATAATGAAATAAAGTTGACTTTTTATTACCTCAAATGACATCAAAATCTTTTAATTAGTTAAATACGAGATTTTTAAAAATACACACTTACTAAAATAGGTAATGCACTCAATTAAAAAGTATAAAAGGCATGAAAAACTCCTCCCACCATACCCTAGTTATCCAGTCTCCATCCTTCGCAACAAGTAACCAATTTTATTCATTTTTTGTTGACCTTTCCAAAGATTTTTAATGCACATTCAAGTTAATTTACATATTCTTTTTTTTTCCCTTTCTACACACATGGGCAACTATTACACACTTACTTTTTTTTACTTAACAATATATCTTAGAGATTGTTCATGAAGACCATACACAAAACAAGCTTCCTCATTTTTTTATGGCTATATAGTTTCTCACTGTATGGATGTTCCATTATTTATTTAACTAGACTTCTCTTGATGGACAATTAGGTTGTTTCCAATCCTTTACCATCAAAAGCAATGAACAATGAATAATCTTGTACATATGTTATTTCACATGTGTTTCAATATATCTGAGCAACTCCCTATTTCTTATTTTGTGTATTTGTGCTTTCTATTTTTCTTGCTTAGGTTGGCTTTTATATTTTTTATTGTGCTTTTGCTGATTTCTAACTCATCAAATTAATTTTTTGTCTACAATAATGCTTCCCTTCAGCTTAAATTCTTTTCTAACTTCTTAAATTACTCCTATGATATACAATGAATAATGGTCAGGGTTCTAATTAAAAATGAATTATAAACAAGTCTCAACCCATTGGTACTAATACTCTACCTGGATATGTTTGCAAAGATGAACCAAGGCCAAAATTCAAAAGTAGGAAAATGGGCCCAGCCCCTCTCATGTTAAGTTTATAATTTTTTTTTTTTTTAATTTACTGGGCCCCTAATTTTTCTTATTCCAATACGATATTATATTGAACACATGCAATAAAATTTCCGAAATGCTTTGAAGGGCATATAAACTCAAAATACTAGCTATATTAAAGAATACTGCTACTCGCAAAGTTCAACAAGACAAAAAATAAAAAATGCTGGCAAGAATGCAGAGATTGGGTCTCTAATACACTTTTGATGGGACTGTAAAATGATACAACCACTGTGGAAAGCAGTATGGTGATTCCTTAAAAAGTTGGAATTAGAAATACCATTTGACCCAGGCATTCCATTACTAAGTATATATCCTAAAGAAGTGGAAGCCAGGACAAGAACAGATATATGCACACCCACGTTCATCGCAGCACTGTTTACAATAGCAAAAAGATGGAAACAACCTAGGTGCCTATCAACAGAAGAATAATCGAACTATGGTACATACACATAAGGGAATATCACGCAACCCTAAAGAATAGCATAGAATCAGCAAAATACTGTGTAACATGGATGAACCTGGAGGGCATTATGCTGAGTGAAATAAGTCAACTACAGAAGAACAAATATTGGATTAGTCCGTTATTGTAAAAGTCAAGGAAAGGTTTATATATGGAAGGAAATTTTCTTTGTTGGTTACCAGGGGTGAGAGGGGAGGGGAGGGAACACTGTTAGATAGGTAGAGACAAGTATTGATTTGGGTCAAGAGAAGGCAATGTACCAAATGTGAGTGCTCAACACGGTGGCACT